CTCCTCTCCTCTCCTCCCTTTCCCCCCCTCCTCCCTCCCCTTTCCCCCTCCCCCCCCCCCCCTCCCCCCCCCCCTCCTCTCCCCCCCTTCTCCCTCCCCTCTCCCCCCCTCTCCCCCCCCCCCCCCCCCCTTCTCCTCTCCTCCCCCCCTTCCTCCCCCTTCTCCCCCCCCCCCCTCCCCTCCCCCCCCCTCCCCCCTCCCCCGTCCCCTCTTCCCCTTCCCCCTCTCCCTCTCTCTCCTCTCCCCCCTCCCCCTCTTCTCTCTCCCTTCTCCTTCCCTTCCCCCTCCCCCCCCTCCCCCCCCCTCTCCCCCCCCCCCCCTCTCCCTTCTCCCCCCCTCCCTCCCCCCCCTCCCCCCTCCTTCTTTCTCCCCCTCCCCTCCTCCCCCCCCTCCTCCCTCTCCCCCCTCCTCCCTCTCCCCTTTTCCTCCCTCCCCCCCTTTCTCCCTCTCCTTCTCTTTCCCCTCCTCTCCTCTCCCCTCCCTCCCCTCCCCTCCCCCCCTTCCCCCTCCCCTTCTCTCTTCCTCCCCCCTCCCTCCCTCCCCCCCTCCCCTCCTCTTCTCCCTCCCCTCCTCCTTCTCCTCCTTCTTCCCCCTCCTCCCCCCCCCCCCTCTCCCCCCTCCTCCCTTCCCCCCCTCCCTCTTCTCCTCCCCCCCCCCCCTCCCCCCCCTCCCCCCTCCCTCTCCTTTCTCCCCCCCCCCCCTCTCCCCCTCCTTCTCTCTCCCCCTTCTCCCCCTCCCCCCCCCTCCCCTCTTCCTCTCCTCCCTCTCCCCTTCTTCCCTCTCCCCCTTCTCCTCTTCCCCCCCTCCCCCCTCTCCCCCCCCCCTCCCCTCTCTCTTCCCCCCTCCTCTCCCCCCTTCCTCTCTCCCCTCTTCTCCCCTCCTCTCCTCCTCCCTCCTCTCCCCCCTCTCTCCCTTCCCCCTCCCCCTCTCCTCCCTCTCTCTCTCTCCTCCCTCCCTTCCTCCCCCCCCCTCCTCTCCCTTTTCTCCTCCCCCTCCCCCCCCCCCCCCCCCCCCTTCTCCTCTCCCTCCCCCCCCTCCCTTTCCTCCCCCCCTCCCTCCCTTCCTCCCTCCTCTTCTCCCCCTTCCCCTCCTTCTCCCCTCCCCCCCCCCTTCCCCTCCCCCCCTCTCCCCCCCCCTCTCCCCTCCTTCTCCCCTCTTCTTGTTCCCCCCCTCCTCTCTTCTCCTCTCCCCCCCTCCTCCCCCCTTCTCTTCTTCCTCTTTCTCCCTCCCCCCCTCTTCCCCCCCTCCTCCTCCTCCCCTCCTCTCCTCCCCCTCCCTCCCCCTCCTCCTCCCCCCCTTCTCCTCCTCTCCCCCCCTTCCTCCCTCCCCCTCCCCCCCTTTCCTTCTCTCCTCCTTCTCCTCTCTCCTCTCCCCCCCCCCTTCCTCCCTCCCCCCCCCCTCCCCTCCTCTCCCCCCCTCCTCCCCCTCCTTCCTGCCCTCTCCTTCCTTCTCTCTTCCCCTCCTCCCCTCTTCTTTCCTCTCCTCGTTCTCCTCCACTCTTCCCCCCCCTCCCTTGTTCTCCTCTCTCCCTCGCCCGTCTTTCCCTCTCTCCCTCTCTCTTTTCTCCTCCTCTCCTTGCTCTTCTCCCCCCCTTGTTTTTTCCCCCCTCTCCCCTTCTCCTCCTCTCCTTGTTCTCCTCCCTTTCCCTTGTTCTCCTCCCCCTCTCCTCCCCCCCTTCTTCTCCTCTCTCTCCTTCCCCCTCGTTCCCCCCTTGTTCCCCATTCTCTCTCCTCCCCCTCCCCCCCCCTCTCCTCCCCCCCTCCTCCCCCCTCTCTCTCCCTCTCCTCCCCTCTCCTCCACTCTTTTCCCCCCCTCCCCCCTCCTCTCCTTTCTCCTCCTCACCTCGTTCTTCTCCCCTCTCCTCGCTCTCTTTCCCCTCTCCTCTCTCTTGTTCTCCTCGCTCTCCTCGTTCTCCTCGCTCTCCTTGTTCTTCTCTCTCTCCTCGTTATTCTCGTTCTCCTCGCTCTCGTTGCTGGATTATCGGGGGATTGTAGCGCCGTGGTCATGGACGGCCTCTTCATGCGCCATCGACCAAGTTTAACGATGCTTGATGTTGACGCGGCGGTCCCAGCCACGGCGCAGGAAAATGAACCTGACGAGGTTGCATTGATAATAATAGCTGCGGCTGGTTTTTTTAGCGGATCCAATTTATCGCGATTATTGGTGAAATGCGACACAAAAACCTGCAGATTTACTGAAAGAATGAAAAGTTTCCTTTTCAGTAACTCAATGAATTCCTGACGTGTCCCGAAATACAGCATCAGGATCATCATTCCACCTCGTCGTTACAAAGCCGTCCCTGAGACCCCATCAGTGACTGCGCCTAGGATGAGATGATGTCATCAGTCTGCTGCGGGCAGGAGGAAGTATTTCCTCAGTCTCCCCTCCCCCCAGTGATCAGACTGTACATTGTAACTTTGTAGAAGGAGGAGGAGTGTAACGTACATGTGACATAAATGTACAGATGTGAGTAGATAAGATGTGATCAGTAGCAATATGTAATCCTAACTGTAGGGACATTCCATTGTCATTAAGGATGTATATTCTGTAGGGACATTCCATTGTCATTAAAGATGTATATTCTGTAGGGACATTCCATTGTCATTAAGGATGTATATTCTGTAGGGACATTCCATTGTCATTAAGGATGTATATTCTGTAGGGACATTCCATTGTCATTAAAGATGTATATTCTGTAGGGACATTCCATTGTCATTAAGGATGTATATTCTGTAGGGACATTCCATTGTCATTAAGGATGTATATTCTGTAGGGACATTCCATTGTCATTAAAGATGTATATTCTGCAGGGACATTCCATTGTCATTAAGGATGTATATTCTCTAGGGACATTCCATTGTCATTAAGGATGTATATTCTGTAGGGACATTCCATTGTCATTAAGGATGTATATTCTGTAGGGACATTCCATTGTCATTAAAGATGTATATTCTGCAGGGACATTCCATTGTCATTAAGGATGTATATTCTCTAGGGACATTCCATTGTCATTAAGGATGTATATTCTGCAGGGACATTCCATTGTCATTAAGGATGTATATTCTGTAGGGACATTCCATTGTCATTAAGGATGTATATTCTGTAGGGACATTCCATTGTCATTAAAGATGTATATTCTGTAGGGACAATCCATTGTCATTAAGGATGTATATTCTGTAGGGACATTCCATTGTCATTAAGGATGTCTATTCAGTCCTTGTCATTGGGGGAAATGAGGTACTCAGAGTCATCAATTAGCACCCGAAAAGCCTGGCTTCCTGCATGTGACACCTACTTTCTAATAAGGTTTTGTCGCCTGCTGGTGAAACCGGTTTAAAGGAAGTGGCTTGAGACATTTCGGCTTTATGACAGCAGGGGGCTCAATCTGTCTGGGGGAGCTAAAAGTGTCTACATACATCAAAAGGGGTATGTTTCATCTCTCATAAAAGCTAAAATATTAGTTGCAGAGAGATGAACATACTCCCTTCTTGTAGGGCATTCTGTGCGCTACATCTGCATAAAAAAAAACATATTTGTGGTTTAGGTAGAAGGCCAGGAAAATGCAGGAAATGGTTAGGTGACGCTGGAGTGCGACAGTTGAACAGTGTTTGGTACTGTCGCGATCGGACTGATGCGCTGGTGTCGGAAATCTAATCCCTGACTTGGTGTTTCAAGCCGGTCTTAGTCCGATTGAACATGGGCAGGTCAGCACCCAGAACATCCTGTGGGCGGGTACAGGAACACCCCCCAGGGTCAATTGGCTGAGGACTAATGTCCCGCCTACGTCCATATCTCCATAAATGGAGTACCCGGACATTGGGATTTGTGATTTGTATGGAGCCGGTTCGATTTGACTGACGCATTGCTGACGCTCTGACTCCAGTCGCAGGATAGATCTCGGTAAACGTTTTATCTCTGTCTTTTATTCCCTTTTATTTTATAGTGAATAGTCATTTGTGTGTCTTCTTGTATTTTTTGTATTTATGTAACTTTTTATATTTTGTACATATTTTATGCTCCGCCCACTTTCGGAATTAAATCTTCAGATTAATTAGTGACTTCTGTGTATTTAAGCTCGGGCTCATATCTCCGGAGAGATTAGATTGTATCGTATTTTAGTGCCTTTAAACGCTCGGTTAAGCTCATTGCCAATCTGTATGCAATTGCACTGCGTGTGGGCAGATTGCGTGCAAATTGTAAAAGGTAACAGATCGGCCAGACGGAGATCTGTGTGTGTGTGGTGTCCCAGCAGACCGTTCTGCGGATAAACTGTTGGGTGGTGGCAGGCTACCTTTGGTGGTGTGTCTGGTGTGGGGGTGTGTGGACAGTGGAAGAGTGATTAACACCGGGGTTCAAGTCTTCTTTTTATTATGGAAGGATTGAATAATTTGGCTGGAAAAAAAAAAAACAGAGAAAAGAGAAAAAGGCGCCGCGGCAAAAGCCGCTCTCTCTGTGTCAGCGTAAAAATTCCGCATTAAACCCGTTCCTCTGATCCTGACAAAAGACAAGAGACGCGGCAATTAAATATACATTGAAAAAATGTGATAAATAAATCAAATAAAACCTAAAGAGATGACCGTCTCGGGGACGGAACGCGGCGGTGTCGAGTTAGAATATTGCGTTAATCTGTTTTGTGCGTTTTTTTTTTTCCTTTTCCTCGGCGAAGTCTGCGCTCGCTGCACATTATAGGACTTAATAAAACATTCATAGCGTTTACATCTCGCATTACCGCCCCCCTCCTTGTGCTCCATCCTTCATCCATTATTAGCGGCTGATTTATGGCGCGTCTTTAGATATTGCAGCAGCCGCAGCGAAGAGCCGTCCGCGACTCCAATCGCCTTCATGTGAACCTAAAATATTACATCTGACTGACCCGAATAATCGCTGTCTGTCATGTACAGGACGCCTGCAAGCAGGAAGAACGGGAATACTTCAACATCGCAAAAGTATCGAAATATATGTCTGAAATGTGTTCATTGTAATTGGTAAATCCCCCTCCCGCCTCCCCTCCAGTCTTGCACAGGTGTACCGGCTCCTCCTCTTCAGTCTTGCACAGGTGTACCGGCTCCTCCCCTTCAGTCTTGCACAGGTGTATTGGCTCCTCCCCTCCAGTCTTGCACAGGTGTACCGGCTCCTCCCCTTCAGTCTTGCACAGGCGTACCAGCTCCTCCCCTTCAGTCTTGCACAGGCGTACCAGCTCCTCCCCTCCAGTCTTGCACAGGTGTACCAGCTCCTCCCCTTCAGTCTTGCACAGGTGTACCGGCTCCTCCCTTTCAGTCTTGCACAGGTGTACCGGCTCCTCCCCTTCAGTCTTGCACAGGTGTACCGGCTCCTCCCTCCAGTCTTGCACAGGTGTACCGGCTCCTCCCTCCAGTCTTGCACAGGTGTACCAGCTCCTCCCCTTCAGTCTTGCACAGGTGTACCGGCTCCTCCCCTCCAGTCTTGCACAGGTGTACCTGCTCCTCTCCTGGACTAAAATGTAAACACAGCCTGCCTAGGAGTGCCCACTCCTCCAGATTGACACCCACCCATCAAGACATTTTAATATTTGCATAACTCCACCCCAGATCCGGCCCACTGCTTGCACCGTGACTAGCGCTTTACAGTATAAGGGAGACAAAACAATTACAATACATTTCAGTACAGAAGTAATAGGAGGACCCGGCTCGTGGAGCTTACAATCTAAAGGAAGGGGGAGGGGTACAAAAGGTGATAGCTGAGGGGGATGATCTGGCAGAGGTGATTCAAGTACAGTTCTTAGGTGGGGTAGGCTTCCCTGAATAAGTGAGTTTTCGAAGGTCACCTAAAGGCAGACAGGGTGGGGGCTGACAGGACATGCTGTGGTAGGGAGTTCCAGAGGATGGGCGAGGATCTGGAGAAGTCCTGGAGGCGAGCGTGGGAGGAGGTGATGAGGGAGCTAGAGAGGAAGATATCATGGGAGGAGCGGAGTGGGAGATTTGGGCGATATCTCGGATGAGGTTGGCGATGTAGCTGGGGGCAGTGTTGTGGATGGCTTTGTTAGCTGTGGTTAACATTTCAAATTTTATACGTTGGGTTAGTGGAGGCCAGTGGAGGGATTGGCAGAGAGGGGTGGAGGACACTAAATGGAGGCAAGTGGAGGGATTGGCAGAGAGGGGGTGGATGACACTGAATGGAGGCCAGTGGAGGGATTGGCAGAGAGGGGTGGAGGACACTGAATGGAGGCAAGTGGAGGGATTGGCAGAGAGGGGTGGAGGACACTGAATGGAGGCCATTGGAGGGATTGTCAGAGAGGGGTGGAGGACACTGAATGGAGGCCAGTGAAGGGATTGGCAGAGAGGGGTGGAGGACACTGAATGGAGGCCAGTGGAGGGATTGGCAGAGAGGGGTGGAGGACACTGAATGGAGGCCAGTGGAGGGATTGGCAGAGAGGGGTGGAGGACACTGAATGGAGGCCAGTGAAGGGATTGGCAGAGAGGGGCAGCAGTCGCTGATTGGTTGGTAAGGTGTATGAGTCTAGCAGCAGCATTCATAATAGACTGAAGGGGGCGTGGCCTGTGTAACAGGAGACCAGTGAGGAGGGAGTTGCAGTAATCGAGGCGGGATATAACCAAGGCATGGATAAGTTGTTTTGTGGTGTTATTGGTCAGGAAGGGGCAGATTTTGGAAATGTTCCGGAGGTTGAGGCGGCAGGATTTAGCCAGTGAGTGGATGTGGGGCCCAAAGGAGAAGTCAGAGTCTAGGATTACGCCTGGCACCCTGGCATGAGGGGAAGGACCAATGGTTGTGCTGTTGATCTTCATGGTAAAGTCATGAGTGGGGGGATCGGGGGGGAGGAAATATTACAGCTCAATTTTGGAACTGATATGTTGCTCAGTAGATTTGTGATACGTGAGGAGATTGAGGGGGTGAGCTGGGGAGTGGAGAGATAGATCTGGGTGTCATCAGCATAGAGCTGGTATTGGAAGCCATGGGAGGTTATCAGTTGGTCCAGGGAGGAGGTATAGAGAGAGAAAAGGAGGGGCCCAAGAACAGAACCTTGGGGTACCCCAACAGAAAGAGGAAGCGGAGTGGAGGAGTTGTATGTGGCACTGAAAGTGCGCTGAGAAAGGTAAGAGGAGAACCAGGAGAGAGCAGAATCACGGAGGCCAATGGAGTGGAGTTTACTGAGAATGAGCGGGAGGTCGACTGTGTCAAAGGCAGTGGAAGGACCAAAGAGTATGAGTATGGAGTAGTGGCAATTGGTTGGGATAAGTATGGAGTAGCGGCTATTGGTTAGGATGAGTAGGGAGCAGTGGCCATTGGTTGGGATGAGTACGGAGTAGTGGCCATTGGTTGGGATGAGTACGGAGTAGTGGCCATTGGTTGGGATGAGTATGGAGTAGTGGCCATAGGTTGGGATGAGTACGGAGTAGTGGCCATTGGTTGGGATGAGTACGGAGTAGTGGCCATTGGTTGGGATGAGTATGGAGTAATGGCCATTGGTTGGGATGAGTATGGAGTAGTGGCCATTGGTTGGGATGAGTACGGATTAGTGGCCATTGGTTGGGATGAGTACGGAGTAATGGCCATTGGTTGGGATGAGTACGGAGTAGTGGCCATTGGTTGGGATTAGTATGGAGTAATGGACATTGGTTGGGATAAGTACGGAGTAGTGGCCATTGGTTGGGATAAGTACGGATTAGTGGCCATTGGTTGGGATGAGTACTGAGTAGTGGCCATTGGTTGGGATGAGTACTGAGTAGTGGCCATTGGTTGGGATGAGTACGGAGTAATGGACATTGGTTAGGATGAGTACGGAGTAGTGGTCATTGGTTGGGATTAGTACGGAGTAATTGCCATTGGTTGGGATAAGTACGGAGTAGTGGGCATTGGTTAGGATGAGTATGGAGTAATGGCCATTGGTTAGGATGAGTACGGAGTAATGGCCATTGGTTTGGATAAGTACGGAGTAGTGGCCATTGGTTAGGATGAGTATGGAGTAGTGGCCATTGGTTGGGATAAGTACGGAGTAGTGGTCATTGGTAGGGTGAGTATGGAGTAATGGCTGTTGGTTAGGGTGAGTATGGAGTAGTGGCCATTGGTTGAGATGAGTACAGAGTAATGGTCATTGGTTGGGATAAGTATGGAGTAGTGGCCATTGGTTGGGATAAGTACAGAGTAGTGGTCATTGGTAGGGTGAGTATGGAGTAGTGGCCATTGGTTGAGATGAGTACAGAGTAATGGCCGTTGGTTGGGATGAGTATGGAGTAATGGCCGTTGGTTGGGATAAGTATGGAGTAGTGGTCATTGGTTGGGATGAGCATGGAGTAATGGCCGTTGGTTGGGATGAGTATGGAGTAGTGGCCGTTGGTTTTAGCGGTTAGTAGGTCATTAGTGAGTTTTAGTCGGGCAGTTTCTGTGGAATGTTGTGGGCGGAAGCCAGACTCTCGGGGATCAAGAAGGTTGTTGTCGGTGAGGTAGCAGTTCATACGTTTGTGAACAAGGCGCTCGAGAAGCTTGGAGGCAAACGGGAGCAGGGAGATGGGTCTTAAGTTATTCAAACAGGTGGGGTCCAGTGAGGGTTTTTTGAGGATCGGAGTAACCAGTGCATGTTTTAGTGGGGAGGGAAAGGTGCCCATGGAGAGTGAGAGGTTGAAGATGGGGGTTAGAGAGTTTAGGATAGAGCAGGAAGGAGGCTGCAACAGTGGTGAGGGGACAGGATCCAGGGGACAGGTGGTGAAGTGGGCCTTGGAAAGGAGTTCGGTAACTTCCTTGACGATAACAGGGCCGAAGGAGGAGAGTGTTGAGTGTGGCGTTGGGCCTGGTATGTTGGTTGGAGGAGGAAGCTTGACACTGGAGATCTCATCATGAATTGTGTCAATCTTCTTCTTGAAAGGACTGGAAATCTCCTGTGCAGCAAGTTGGTGGGTGGAGGCAGTGGGGGGCGGAGTAAGGAAATAATGGTAGAGGAGAGTTGACGAGGATTGGATGAGGGTCTTGATGAGAGTGTTGTAGTAGGTTTGTTTAGCAGCATGGAGGCCGGAGTAGTATTTGAGAAGAAGGGATTTGTAGAGGGTAAAGTCTTTCAGTTTTACCCCCGGCTCGCTCAAGAATGCGTCTGCGTCTCTTGAGACTTGTGGTGTCATCTGTTTTCCGGGGTTGTGACAGGCGAGGCCGGGTTCTTCATGTAGAGAGAGGATCATGAGCGTCCATGGAGGATGATAGATGGTTGTTGTAGATGTGGCCAGCAATGGGCAGGACAGGGGTGCAATTTCATCATAGAGGCTCCCAGTAGCAGAGTGAAGAAGGTCAGGGCTGAGGTATATAGAAATATATTGAATACGGCCAAAATTGTAGCATTTCAAATATAGGTCAATATATTTGGGAAGAATATTTTAAAAATATATTTCAAATATATTTTTTTTCCGTACAACGCAGCTAACAAGGAGAAGGCGGCTTTAACACTCTTCTCCATCTCAAAGCTTTAAAACAAAAAACATTTTGGTGTTCCTCGTGAGACGCTGGTCTTGGGCATGTGCATGGAGAATGGAGAAGACCTCTGTCTGTCAACATAGGCATCTCCTTGCTCACTGCGTTGTCGGGCAGCCATGGAGGGGGGTGGGGCGTCTTGTTTGATCTCACAGCTAGGCTTAGACAGCTTCTAAGAAGACGGGACAAAGTCCTACATGTCCATTCACCCCTGGGGAACACAGCACTTTAGTAAAAAATCCAGAGTGAGGCTTTATGACCTTTTCAGAGGGTTTCCGAAATTTTTTTTCCCGATATCAGACTTTTATCAGCACTCATAGTGGTCCAGCTGCCTGGTATCATCTGTTGCCAGTAGGTTGATACTGAGGCAAAACCAGACCCCTCAGGAACTTGTGATGTCATCAAACCCAAACCCTCTTGGGGGACACCTCAGGCTCCCATGATGTCATCAAACCCAAACTCTATTGGGGGGGGCCCCCTAAGGCTCCTGTGATGTCATCAAAGCCAAACCCTCTTGGGGGACCCCTCAGGCTCCTGTGATGTCATCAAAACCAAACCCTCTTGGGGGACCCCTCAGAACTCATGATGCCATCAAACCCAAACGCTCTTGGGGGACCCCTCAGGCTCTTGTAATGTCATCAAACCCAAACCCTCTTTGGGGACCCCTCAGGCTCCTGTGATGTCATCAAACCCAAACCCTCTTGGGGGACTCCTCAGGCTCTCATGTTGTCATCAAACCAAAACCCACTTGGGGGACCCCTCAGGCTCTCATGATGTCCTTAAACCAAAACCCTCTTGGGGGACCCCTCAGGCTCTCGTGATGTCATCAAACCAAAACCCTCTTGGGGGACCCATCAGGCTCTTGTGATGTCATCAAACCCAAACCCTCTTGGGGGACTCCTCAGGCTCCTGTGATGTCATGAAACCCAAACCCTATTGGGGGACCCATCAGGCTCTCGTGATGTCATCAAACCCAAACCCTCTTGGAGGACTCCTCAGGCTCCTGTGATTTCATCAAACCCAAACCCTCTTGGGAGACCCCTCAGGGTCCTGTGATGTCATCAAACCCAAACCCTCTTGGGGGACCCCTCAGGGTCCTGTGATGTCATCAAACCCAAACCCTCTTGGGGGACCCCTCAGGCACCTCCCAAAAGAGAAAGTCAATCCTGATCTGACCCTCCCCACCATTATTCACAGGCGGTCCAACCGTTTCCTGGCATGGTGTCCCTCCAAACTTTGAGCCGTCAGTAATAGTTCCTGACCAGTTGTCCATAAAAAATTACATTTCGGGTTTGCCGGCCCCCCGTTCCCTCGCCTCCCTCCACAGAATGATAATAATTCGACTTTTTACCCAAGCCGCGTCCTGTCACTCTCGGCGGCCTTCTCTCTCTTTTCTATTAAAGAGGAGTGAAAATTCCCATTAATAACAGGACTTGACCTCCGTCTCCAATCTTCATGCCAAAATGAAAAATGCCGAGCCTTTGGGAGTTTATGAAATCTCTTTACGGAGACGATTTTCAATTGTGTAACAACTGGAGCTTGTAAATGTGTTTTCTCTCTCTGTGTGTCCATTTCATGGCTTGTATTATCTGTTCTCCTCGGATGTCTGACTTCACAAACCACGAAATACATGTTAGAGAGAGGACGCCGCGTGTGTATAGACTGTATATAGGGGGGGGGGGTGTATATACTGTGTATACTGTGTATATAGGGGTGTGTGTGTATATACTGTATATAGGGGGGGTGTATATACTGTATATAGGGGTGTGTATACTGTGTATATGGGGGGGTGTATATACTGTATATAGGGGGGGTGTATATACTGTGTATAGGGGTGTGTGTGTATATACTGTGTATAGGGGGGGTGTATATACTGTATATAGGGGGGGTGTATATACTGTGTATAGGGGGGTGTATATACTGTATATAGGGGGGGTGTATATACTGTGTATAGGGGGGTGTATATACTGTATATAGGGGGGGTGTATATACTGTATATAGGGGGGGTGTATATACTGTATATAGGGGTGTGTGTATATACTGTGTATAGGGGTGTGTATATACTGTATATAGGGGGGTGTATATACTGTATATAGGGATGTGTGTGTGTATATATACTGTATATAGGGATGTGTGTGTATCCTGTATATAGGGGTGTGTGTGTATATACTGTATTATAGGGATGTGTGTGTATATACTGTATACAGTGAAGGAAATGCGTATTTGCTCCCCTGCTGATGCTGAATGTTCGCCCCTCACACAGAAATGATCGGTCTAACAATGGAATGTTCGCCCCTCACACAGAAATGATCGGTCTAACAATGGAATGTTCGCCCCTCACACAGAAACGATCGGTCTAACAATGGAATGTTCGCCCCTCACACAGAAATGATCGGTCTAACAATGGAATGTTCGCCCCTCACACAGAAACGATCGGTCTAACAATGGAATGTTCGCCCCTCACACAGAAATGATCGGTCTAACAATGGAATGTTCGGTGTAACACTGAGAGACAGAATACAACAACAAATTCAGCAGAAATGCGTCTAACATATGATGACTGATCTGCATGTTCATGAGGGAAAGAAGGATTTGATCCCCTATCATTCAGCAGGATTCCTGGCTCCCAGGTGTCTCTCATACAGGTAACAAGCTGAGATTAGAAGCAGTCTCTTAAAGGGAGTGCTGCTAATCTCATTGTGTTACCTGTATAAAAGACACCTGTCCACAGGAGCCATCAAACCATCAGATTCCAAACTCTCCACCATGGCAAAGACCAAAGAGCTGTCCAAGGATGTCAGGGACAAGATGGTAGACCTACCAGCTCTTTGGCATCAACTCAACTCGCCGTGTTTGGAGGAGGAGGAATGCTGCCTATGACCCCAAGAACACCATCCCAACTGTGAAACATGGTGGTGGAAACATTCTGCTTTGGGGGTGTTTTTCTGCTAAGGGGACAGGACAACTGCACCGCATCAAAGGGACGATGGACGGGGCAATGTACCCTCAAATCTTGGGGGAGAACCTTCTTCCCTCAGCCAGGGCATTGAAAATGGGTGGTGGATGGGTGTTCCAGCATGACAATGACCCAAAACACACGGCCAAGGCAACAAAGGAGCGGCTCAAGAAGAAGCACATTAAGGTCCTGGAGTGGCCTAGCCAGTCTCCACACCTTCATCCGATTGAAAATCTGTGGAGGGAGCTGAAAGTTCGAGTTGCCAAACGTCATTAGACACACTATCTGCTGGGAAATATTTTCGCTCATCCTCCTTCAAAAACTTTCGGATGATT